CGGACAAACGCTGGCTCTATGGCTTGAAGAGCGGGATGAGCGCCGCCCCCTAGAGTCGGACACGACTGGACAAAAATTGTCAAGGGGAACCTTTACCTTTACCTTATACTTGCTCTAACTAAATATTTACCAGGAAGAACAATGAGGGAGTAGAATGTTGGAATTCTAAATTCCAACACCTTGTTGTACATTCACTTTGGATTATGAATTTGACACGCGGAAGTAAATGCTAGCAAATATGAGGAAGCAATGGAATCGGGAAACAAATAAGGCCTTTCCATGAGGTTACTGTTTTCTAACCCTGTGGACATACCTGAGGTATATTGTAGATACTGAAGATGTTGGCCATCTGCCTGGAGTTTTCAGAAGTGAGCCCACCAATGGCGGCCAGAACTTTCCCTTTCCTACCACAGTTGTAATTGAGGGGTTGCCCTTTGCCCAGGAAGAGAAGATCCAGGGTGGTCCAGCAGCTTCTCCAGGGATTAAAAGAATTGTCATAAATCTTGTAACCCAATGTGATATTGGGCAAAATTTGAGCATTCTGGTTGATCTGGCGGATGGTAAAAGCAGAGGCCAGGATGTGCTGATAGTTCTTTGGAATTACACTGCAATGAAATTTCACAAAACTGCTCAATTTTCTTCTTGAAGGAACCATTATGGTGTTATTAACCATGCCCTGAATTTCGTCCTAAGAGCAATTTACATGTAGTCATCTATATTATGGAAAAATAATTCTTGGATGGATGAATCTCCTTAGTTCGGACACATGTAGAACAATTATGATGTTATTAACTGTGCCCTGAATTTCGTCCTCAGAGCAAGTTAGACGTGGTCATCTATATCACGGGAAAACATTTCTTGGATGGATGATTCTCCTTAGTCTCAGACAGATGTACAACACTAGACATGACAGGACCCAAAATATTACATTCCTCACTTTTCTTTCACTATAGATACAGGTTTAACAAATGTAGAACTAACTCTTTCACGAGACACCACATTCCCTCTCAGGAAAAACATGCAGAAGAATGACTGAAAAATGTCTATCAATAGAATGATCCACAGATAGAGTCGTTTATTTTTTCCTACTGCTGATCATAGTGGCTAGGTTGAAAAGATTGTGAAGTAGACCCCAATGGACCACATCCCCTCCTGCAAAACATTGATGCTGTCCTCTCCAGTCGACTGATCTTCTCTGCTGTGTTCGTTGAAGATATCATATGCCTCCCAACGTTTTAGATGGACAGCAATTTGGGGGAGATTTCCATGAGGCCCTTCCTGAACACACCCTGCCTTCAAATTTTTCCCTTTGAAGTCAGAGAATTATAAAAGACAATTTTCACTTTCAACTCTGTCCATCTTTCCGACTTCTTTCAAGCTTTTGGACAGACCTTCATCTCTACAACGTCTTTTCTCACGTGTGGTCTGGCTCTCTTGATTCACAACACCATTTTTCCAAGCTGTCTCCCATTCCTCTGCACCCTGACATATTCCTGCTTTCTGCATACAGCAGAATCTGTGATTCTGGGAGGTAGGGCTTCATCACAGTGAGACTGGTTGGGTTTCAGAAGGGCTCCCAAAACTGTCTGGGATCCTTAGGTTTCAACCCCCTCCAAACTTTGGGGAGAATGGACTTTTACCAGGAGAGGTGAAAGTCTGAAGCATCAGAATTCAATAGAGTGGGACTCAGGGGTTTCTTCTCTCTGTTCTGATATATAACTTTGAAGGACCTAAATCATGAAAAAAGTGAAAGTAATCTGGGAGAGAAAGTGACTATATCTGACTGGATGGGGTAGTACCCCCTTCTCACTTGAGGCTTGAGTGGGAGAAAGAGAAGGGAGTGAGGAAGAAAAGAGGGGGGAGGAAATGTCTTCCTTCCTAGGGCATTAGGAGTATATGACTACTTAAATCTGTGAAGCAACCAGAAAAAAGACTCTATGATGACCAGAGAGAAAGATTCAATTGTAATTTTTATTTGCTCCAGGACATAAGCTGCATTTGTGAATATCTATTGTGTCTTACTTCTGCTGGAAACAAAGCTAGAAAGGGACTTGTAGAAGCCTGGAGTTCTTTGAGCAATTTTCTTTTAAAGCCTGGCAAAAGACTATACAAGAAATTTTTGTCTTTGGATTACAAGATATAAATGGAAATATAGATCAGCTATCTGAACAAATTAAAGACATTGGGATACAATTGAGATTCAAAGGGAAGGAGGGAGAAAAACTAGAAGATCTCCAAGTGGGATGGGAAGGACTGAGACAGGAAACAAGACAAATTGAAATTAAATAATGAAAACTACAGACAAAGGGAGACAAGAATATTTTTAGATCCCAAAAACCGCCAGAAAAGACAAGCAAAAATACATTGAAATGGAGAGTGAATTTGTCAACCCCTCTTATGGAAAAGTCAGCAGCAGAAGAAAAGCAAAGGGGAGGGGAATGGAAATGATGGCTTACATATGTGGCAGACAAGAGAAGGAGTCAGCAAATGTAAGCCCTCAGAAGCAGAATTAAGTAAACATAAGTGGTCATCCCAGAGAAATTGAGCTTGTTATTATAAACATCCAATACACATACAATAAATAGAGTCGCAATATTTGCATTTAAAGCCACTAAAAGTTGAGCTAAGTATTTGCAAACTATTTGTGTCAATTGCCATAAAGATTTAATATATGAAGACAGCCATATGGAATAGGATTTAAATGTTATCTTTCAGTTTTATCATTGAGGATTCAGCTAAAATGCTTTAAATAAATAATAATCATATTTACAGCTCCATTTTAAAGTATTACTATTAGAATTATTTTAATTCATCATTTTTTACTGTTGCTTTAATGCAGCGTATTAATTTCTTTTAAAAATTTTAAATGATCTGTTGATTATGCAATAAAGATTTGAATGAATGATGAGATGGAACATGAAGGATAACAAGTACCTAAAGGATTAAAAGTAGTAAATAAAGAGTAATTTCTCTCTGTCTAGATTTCTAGCAGGCAAAATGATCATGAAGAAATTGTTAGTAGATGACATACTTGGTCTAGTGTTTGTTGATTATGTGGATGAATGAAATATTATGTAGTTCTAAACCTATAATTCCAATACCTGACTATCTAGTGTAATGTTTTATGAATATTAAAGATATGATTTTGATGCTAGTTATCGCCTTTCTGCAAAATGAAGTACCTATATGATTAATAATAGTAAATTAATAGTAATGCTTTTTATAAGAGTATCTACATCATAATTAGATAGCACTAAGCAAAGTGTATGTCTTGTGATTTTAAAATAGCAAAGAGATGTTTAAAAGAAAGAGGGAAGGTTAAGAAATTGTTGGTAGTTGATATAGTTTATCTACTATTTGTTTGATCATGTAACCAAAGGCATTACTTTGAAGCTAGGCATTTTCTTTTTTTAAGTCGAGACAAGTGAAAAATTAGTTAAGTTATACAGAAAATGTAGGAACAAGAAAAGAAAGATTCTGTGAGAAAGTAGGGGCAGAATGAGAAAATAGAGATCTGATGGAATTCACTTTTAGAGCAGTAATATTATCTTTCCTGAAGATGCCCTGATCCCATATGATGGAAATGTTAAATAGATCATATGACAGAATATTTTTTATGATAATGAATTAGAACAATGGATATAAATACAGCAGAATAATATTAATTTTTTAAAAAGGTTAATACATTTAAAAGAAAGAGATGGTCCAAGGGAATGGAAGATTAGCTACTATAATTCATTTTCTTTTCTATGCTTTCACATTTTAATATAATTGAATATAATTGCATAAGTGGATGAAAGAATACTCCCCCCCCCGTAATATTATCCTGTTCCCACCCTTTCCTTTTCCTCTTACCTTGTTCCTCTGTTCCTAACCAAACCCATATACTTTTGAAAAATCATTTTAAAAACCCGGAAATGACTAAAGAGGAATAAAGAAAGAAAAGAAAGAATTTCTGTCATTCCATGACACTGAATCAACAGCAAGACATTAAACAGATGTTAGTATTCAAATCCAGTTCTTTGTCAATTATGTTGAATTACAGCCTGCTTTCCTAGACCTATATATATACAGCAATACAGGCCTAAATCAAAATTACAAATGTTAACTAACAGCAGACCCATACAAAAAAAGATATTTCTGATCGGTCACCCACATATTTAGACAGTGACAAGACAACCAACTGCTTTAATTAAATATTTTGTTTAATGAAGAGAAGAAATGCCCTTGGCTTCGCTCTACATTCTCATTTATGAAGCAGTGAAAAAGAACTACTTACCAACCATTTACTGCAGAAGAATCTGGGTATTTCTCAAAGGTCTTGAGAGCATAATCACCAACTGTAATGGATACAAAGTGCCCAAGAATTGCCTCATCTGAAGCTTTAGGGAAAGAAGTTTGAACTTTTGTCCTCCAATCACAGACAGAAGGGGTCATATTCTGTTGGGAAGAACAGAGCATCAACGAAATCAGACAGAAGGTTGACCAATATTGGGACTCACCTCCCTTGGACTCCTTCATGGTCTTCTCCCGCCACCCCCAGCACTCCCACTCCTGGCAGAACATACAGAGAAGCTTAGACTGGCAGTGCTGTCCACTTTCTCTCTCAGACTGGCATGTTGTCAGTTCCTTGAAGTAGAGACTTTATAGACTAAGTGCAGAGATGCTAACCCAAATGGGCTGTGTTTGTCCCTTGTTTTGACACAAGAAGCACCCACATTTCTCAGGGTCTTTGGGGAAACAGAATGCGGAACACAGTAATTTAGATAATTATAGGGAAGGTTATCAAGGCTTCTTGAGTTTCTTATGCTGATGCCCTGCTCTATTCTGAAGTATTAAAATGTATTGATGCCCTGCTCTATTCTGAAGTATTAAAAATGTATTAAAAAGGATCAAGAAGCTTCGATGTGTCTAACATCTTGAGTTATTTTGTTGTTATGTAGTTGTCAGGTTCTTTTGGCTTGTAACAAGGCAATGAATGAATCACCTCTGAAAAGTTATATCCTTAAGTGAATGAACTGTAATAACTAGTCTGGCAGCTACGTAGAAAATTAAGACCAGCTCTTCTACTCTTGGGGTGCCTCCTCTGTCTGTGAAGCCTTGGACGGCCTCATATCCTCTCAGTTTTTCACCTTGCCAGAGGCCCGCTGTTGTTGAATTTTCTCATCAGTTCAATTACCTACCTGGTGATCCCAAACACTGGGTACAACTCTGTAGCCAGAAGTGCACTGCCCTGTGGCAATCAGTCCTTACCTTTAGGGGACCATCTTTTAGCAAGGCGAATTTGTAGACATATTCTAACTTTTAAATAGAAAGGTGGAGGAGAAGAAAGGCAGCAAGGAGGAGGACAGAGAAAAGGAACGTTTCAAGAAGAAGAAGGCAGATAGGTGTGGGGCTGATTGCCAGGTTTCTTAATTTCCGCTGGCACCATGGTTAAGGCTTAACCTGACATGCCCTTTGCCCTTCTGCAATATCTTGACCTTATTTCCTGAGCATATGTGGACTTTCCAGGCCCTGCTTGGTTGCTATATGACCAGGGCTTCAAGATGAGGGCTGCAATTAACCCCCAGATGCACTGGGATGTTCATCATCAAGGGTTCTGGCTACAGCTAATGACTCTCTCTCTCTCGTCCCATGTCATGTGAGCATTTTACAGTGGGCACTTGGTTCAAAGGTCTGCTAATTTTAATTCTCCCCATGTTTTGGCAGGCCAGGGGGTTCAACCTAGTCTGGTTTGCTGGGAATTCAATGAGAAGAGTTTCTGCAGCTGTAAGCCATGCAGATTCCAGCATATGTGCTCGCTATGTAGGGGCAATCACAGTACCATATCCTGCTTCCGAGGTCATCCCGGAGCAGGTGGAGGAAAAGACGGAGGAGGAACCAAGGGGCCAACAGCTGATCCAACCCCATCTGAGAAACGGGCCCAGTCCAATTAATGTGGCAGTTCCGGAGGCCTGGTTGCAGCTTTACCCAGATCATGAAGCCGCTAGTTACAGTAGTGCCTTGCATTACAACCTTAATTTGTTCCAGCGAAATCGCTGTAGAATGAAAACGTCGTAATGCAATTTTAAAAAGCCCATAGAAACCCATTAAAGCCAGATTAATGCGTTCCTAGGGGCTTGAAACTCACAGTCCAGCGAAGATCCTCCATAGCGCGGCCATTTTCCTCTGCCTAGTGAGGAATCCATGCGAAAACACAGCAGGTGGCCATTTTGTTTACCTGCCGGCCATTTTGAAACAGCCGATCATCTGTTAAAAAATCATCGCTTTGCGATTATTGGTTCCCGAAGCTTTTGCGATCACAAAAAGTTTGTCGTGATGCGATTTCGTCATCAAATGGAGCACCCGTCCTGCGGGGCACCACTGTATTTGTTAAGAGGCTTTACTTTGGGATTCAGAATCCCTGTCCAGGGTAATAGATTTGCAACTTCTGCAAGAAATTTGAAGTCTGTCAGAGGAATGGAGGAGATAGTGAGGCAAATGACTGAGAAAGAGGTTGCTGAAGGGAAGGTAGTTGGTTCCTTTGTGGAGCCTCCAGTCCCTAATTTACGCATCTCCCCTTGGGAGTCATCCCTAAAAAGATGCCCAGAGAGTTTCGTTTAATTCACCATTTGTCGTACCATGAAGGGGAATCTGTCAACTACATGATAACACAGGAGCTATGTACGGTTAGGTACACACCTTTTGAGGCTGCCATACATATGGTTTGTGCCTGCGGCAATGGGGCTGAGCTGACATTAAGTTGGCTTTCCGTTCGCTCATCCCAATGACTTTTACTTATTGCGTTTTCAATTTGAGGACTTTTTTTATATGGACAGGGCGCTGCCTATGGGATGTTCTATTTCCTGTGTTGCTTTCGAGCGCTTTAGTTTATTTTTGGAGTGGGCTCTGCAATGTAGGGCCGGCTTGACCCATGTTTTATTTAGATGATTTTTTATTTTATTTTCTGGGAAACCTGGATCAGGGCAATGTGATTTTCTCATGAGAACCTTTCAGATCCTCACAAGGGAACTTGGTGTTCCCTTGAAGGATGAGGAAACCTAGGGACCATCTACAATCATTACCTTTTTGCGGACTGAACTGGATAAAAGATTTGCAGATCCGAATCAGAAGCTTGCTGCAACATAAAAAGTTACTGAAGGACTCGCAGGGGGTGGTTGGCCAGCTTAATTTTGCCTGCAAGGTTATCGCCCCTGGCAGGGCTTTTTTGAGAAGGCTCAGCGGAGCCATGAGTGGCTTAAAAGAGGTCACATCACAAGCAAAAATTGTCACCAGACATGAAGGATGACCTTCGCACATCGTTTCATTTCTTAGAGCATTTCAATGGAATTTCATTTTTAATTTTTTTTAATTTCCAAAACAAATACAAAAATACAAAATACTTACTAATGCAATCCAAAACACAGTGCACCCTCATACCCATGGGACCCTTTGGAGAAATACTTTTATTACGAACCTCCTTTCCAAAACTGTATTGATTGTATTCTTCCATTTTTTCATGTTTATATCCTTATTTTTTTTTCAGTTTATAGAATTCCCTTATTGTTATTCCTCTTGAATTTACTTTCATCGTGTCCCACAACAGGCCTCATTTCGTACTTCCTGCTTCATTTATTGTCCATAATTCTAACCATTCTTTCTTTAGCTTTTCTTTTACCTCTGGGTACTGGAAAATGTTAATATCCATTCTCCATCTTTTAGATTCTTTTAAATCTTTTTTAATCTCAATCTCCATTGACATCAAAGCATGATCTGTTCTTTTCATGGAATTAATCTTAGTATTAACTATCTTTCTCTTTGCCTGAATTTCTGCCAATATCCTTCTGTCTCTTTCTAAAACAAAAACCTTGCTTTCCAAATTTCTCAATTCTTCCAGTTTTTTCATGTTTATCTCCTTAATTTTTCCAGTTTACAGGATTCCCTTATTGTTATTCCTCTCTAAATTGCTTTCATAGTGTCCCACAACAAGCCTAAATTTGCACCTCCTGCTTCATTTATTGTTCATAATTCTAACCATTCTTTCTTTATCTTTTCTATTACCTCTGGGTACTGTAAAATGTTAACATCCATTCTCCATCTTTTAGAGTCTTTATAATCTTTTAAAATATCAATCTCCATTGACATCAAAGCATGATCTGCTATTTTTATACAATTAATCTCAGTATTAACTTTCTTAGGAATTAAATCTTGAGATGTGAATATGAAAATTATTCTGGAATAACTATTATATACTGCTGAAAAATAAGTATATCTTCTTTCATCACCTTTGATTACCCTCCAGATATCCTTCAAGTAGTTATTTTTACCTTCTTGCTCAATATTGTATTTCTTTGGAGAACATCATTGCGATCATAAAAAGTTTTATCCTTTATCTTATCCATAACCATATTGAAATCCCCTGCCATAATAACATAACTCTTCTTTACCTTCTCCATTTCTTTAATAACCGTGTCATAAAAATCTCCTTGTTTATTATTAGGTGCGTAAACATTAACCAAGGTATATTTTTTGAATCTTAGTTGCATTATTACTGTTGCTATCTATTATTAATATAATTAGTATAGTTATTACTAAAAACTAGAAAGAAAGAAAGAAAATCAATATAAACGAATGAAGGAAAGAGAGAAGAAAAGTAAAAGTAAAGAAAATTAAAAGAGTTAGAAGGGGGGGAGACAACAGGTGGTCCATCTTCTAACCCTTCAGGAATCTGGTCCTTTCTACTTCAACCTTCAGTGTTTTTTTTGCTTGAAGTTAAGTTTAACTCCTGACACCCCTCTTCCTCCTGCCAGAGTTTCCACTCCTTCAACAGGTCTTTACCTTCTTCTATGTTTTATCAATACTGTTGTAACAGGATTCATAGATTTTCTCCAGTTTAAAGAATCACTGCTTAAATCTTGGAAAATCCGCAATTTAGTGCCCCTGTAGACCAGCTGCTCTTGTTTTTTTTTTAATTTCTCTCATAAATTGTTCTTTGTATAATTAAAAAACTTCACCAGCACTGGTCTTGTCCTTGGGCTTTTGTGATTAGCAACAAAATGAGCTCTCTTTTTTTTTTTCATTTTGGAGGGATGAACTTTGCTAATAGCGAATAAATAGTTCATTTGGACTCTGACAGATCCTTTGGTTATGGCATTTACTTTAGAGGCCATTGGTGTACCGGTCTGTGGCCTGAGGCATGGAGTGACTCCGAAGTCATCCGTGATCTCACTTTTCCGAAGTTCTTTCCCATTCTGTGGACCCTTTGGATGTGGTCTGAGGCTTGGGCCAAATCCTCAGTCACCTTCTGGTGTGACAATATGGCAGTAGTTCATGTGGTGACTACCCTCTTATCCAAGTCTTGGAGGGTTATGAGACTCATGAGAGCTTTCACACTACATTGCCTGGAGTACAATACAGTGTTCCAGGCTTGTCATGTACTGGTGTTGAGAATGAGCTGGCTGATGCCCTGTCCCATCAACAGATCAACTGGTTCAGGGCATTGGCCCCGGAGGCTAGACTTTGACTGCAAGTATTGCCCCAAG